GGTGACATTACCTCTATGGCAGTTGTTTTCGCCCTCAAGATTTGGTGGCATTACCTCTATGGGGTCCTATGTACCATTTACACGGACCACAAGAGTTTGAGTTACCTCATGGATCAGTCGAATCTAAACATTAGGCAATGTCAGTGGCTAGATGTGGTAAAGGATTACGATTGTGAGATCCTCTACCACCCTGGGAAGGCCAACGTTGTGACCGACGCGCTTAGTCATATGGTGGCCCCGATCAGAGACATTTGCTTGAGGATGACGGTGGTGACACCATATTTGGAGCAGATCCAAGAGGCGCACGTTGAGGGTATGATGGAGGAGCGTCGGAAGTGCGAGCGGATGATGCCAGGTGACCTCGTTTGACTATGACAGTCGTGGGCTGCTGACCCTGTACGAGAGGGTCTAGGTTTCGTACTGGGGAGGAGTACAGCAGATTTTGATGGATGAAGCCCACAAATCCAGGTTTTGTATCCATCCTGCAGCGACGAAGATGTACAAAGATCTTCGTCCTAATTAGTGGTGGCCCTACATGAAGCGGGATGTAGCCTGGTATGTCAAGAGGTGCCTGACCTATAGGAAGGTCAAGGCCGAGCACTAGAGGCCTCACGGAAATACACAACCATTGGATATCCTTATGTGGAAATGGGAAGATATTACTATGGATTTTATCACAAAGCTGCCTAGGACCGCACGGGGAGTGGATTTGATTTGGGTCATCGTGGATTGGTTGACTCAGAGTGCCCATTTCATACCGATCCAGGAGAGCATCTCAGCCGAGAAGCAGGCCGGCATCTACATTCGAGAGGTAGTAGCACGATACAGAGTGCCAGTTTTCGTGATTTCCAACCGAGAAGTGCGGTTCACTTCCTCGATTCTGGAAGAATTTTCACGACGAGTTAGGTACTCGTCTGCACTTCAACACCGCTTTTCACCCGCAGGCGGATGTTTAGAGTGATCGGACCATCCAGACCTTGGAGGATATATTGCGGGCATGCGTTTTAGACTTCGATGGTATCTAGGATACCTACCTTCCATTGGCAGAGTTTTCCTACAATAATAGCTACCACGTGAGTATTGACCATCCTCCCTTCGAGATGCTATACGGGAGGAAGTGCAGAACCCTGATGTGTTGGGGGTGAGGTTGGCAGAGGGTCATGGGGGAATACCAAAGTGGTACTCAAGACGACGGAGACGATCCAGCAGTTCCGGAGTACGCTTCAGACTTCTTAGAGTCGGCAGAAAAGTTATGCTGACAAGTGTCGTTCGGACCTGGAGTTCCAACTTGGGGATATGGTCCTCCTGATGGTGTCACCTTGGAAAGGTTTCATCTAGTTCAGGAAGTAGGGAAAGTTAGGCCCCAGGTACATTGGACCTTTCATGGTGACAACCCAGGTGGGCAAGGTGGCTTATAGGCTGGATCTGCCAGCCGAGCATAGCCAGATTCACAGTACCTTTCACATCTCCCAGTTGCAAAAGTGACTGGTAGAAGAATCTGTAGTGGTGCCTCTAGAGGATATTCTGGTGGATGACAGCCTGCACAACATTGAGTGACCAGTAGTTATCCTCGACTGGAAGTCGAAGCATCTGAGGAACAAGAGGGTCGAGCTAGTGAAGGTGCAATGGCAACACCGCAAGGGTTCAAAATGGACTTTGGTGTCGGAGGACGAGATGAGAGAACACTACCCTGAGCTTTTTCCGGATGCAACAGCAGACTTCAAGGACGAAGTCTAGAATAATTGGGGGAGATTTGTGACACCCGGTTCCCGGTACATATTTGTAATATAAGTTTTTGCATTTTTACACACAGAATCGACGAGTTGGAGGCCTAACTCGTCGAGTAGATGCAAATTTTAGGACGCGGGTGGACGAGTCTACCCGCCGAGTCGAAATCCCCGACTCGACGAGTGACCTATTTGGATGAAACCCTAAATTTGAGGGTTTACACCCTATTTAAACAACTTATAGGGCCTCCACTCCATCCCCCATCACCCTCAGACTCTCTTCAAGAAACCCTAATCGATTATTGAATGTTCTTGAGCTTTGTGTGTCTTTGAAGCTTGAGAAGAAAGAGGAAGCTTGGGAGATCAAGAGAAAGCAAGTAGATCTAGAGGTTTTGGCACATTTCCAGCTCATTTGAGGTATAAAGTTGATACCTTGACTATTCATTTCTAAGATCTCTATTTAGGGCTATTTTTCTACCTTTTTTAAGCTTTAGTAAAGCCATATTCGGGATTGTGTGTATCAATGGGGTTGCACTTCAGATCTTGAACCTTAAGGGTTCCCATGACATAAAGGTGCCAACTTTATGGCCATGGGAGTCCCATGCACCTTGTAGACTTCATTTTGGGTCCTTATGAGCTAGTTAACCCATGCATGCACGTAACGTTTGTAACTTTACATGTTATATCGATCCTAGGAGGTCAGATCTAGGTCTTGGATGCATTAAGACCGACTGAACTCAATTGTATGGACTTGGACTTTGAGGGACTCGACGAGTCACTCATAGGACTCGACGATTCGGGCCATGGTTCCCTAACCTTTTCTGTTTCGGAGTAATCTGGTTAAGCCTATAAGAGGATTCAACAAAATGGACATGAATATGGACTTGAAGATCAAAGAACTCGGCGGGTTCAAGGATGAACTCAGCGAGTTTAAGGAAATGTCTCGACTAATATGAAGAAGGCCTTGACGAGTCAAGGAAGAACTCGGCAAGTCCAAGACTAAACGTGCCAACTTGCATGAAGCAGGACTCGACGAGTTCAATGATGAACTCGACAAGTCAGGAGAAAAAGGTCCCGATTTTGTATGAAGGTTAGCTCGATGACTTCTTGAAAGACTCGACGAGTAGGATCAAAGTCCAACACTTTGAGGATTATGGAACTCGACGAGTTGGTGGACCAACTCTGCAAGTTGAGTTAACCAGATGTTGACTTTGACTAGGGTGTTGACCTTGACTTTGACTTTGACCTGAGTTACCCTTGAAAGGGTTAAGCGTATGAAATGGTAATTAAGGAAAGTTGTTATGTGTACGAGTTGAGAGAAATTGATCACTACATCAAGGACAGTTCAGACACTTCACGACATTGAGGTGAGTTACCTTCCAGTAGAAGTGGGTCAAAGGCACCAAGGCTGACCCACTAGTAAAAGTTATAGTAGAGATATTGACTTTGTGATAATTATCTGGTATATTGTTATCTGTTATGATTATGTGCTAGCATGTTATGATGTTATGTGGTATGTGATAGAAAGGGTAGGATAGACCCCAGTATCGGTCGATATTGTCGAAGGGGTATGGCAGCGCCCAGAATATATGACTTATATGTTTATGCACTAGGATGCTATATGGTAGAGTAGGGGTGAAATAGTACCGGTCAAAAGGACTGAAGGGGTAGGCCAGCACCCTGATATGCTAGACAAGGTTCCTGGTCGACAAGACCGAAGGGGTAGGCCAGCATCCCGATATGCTAGGTAAGGTACCGGTCGACAAGACCGAAAGGGAGGCCAGCACCCGGATATGCTAGGCAAAGTACCAGTGGACAGGACCGAATGGGTAGTTAGTACCTAGTTATGTTATGCAATATATGTTATGTATGGTATGTGGTATGATGGGGGAACTAACTAAGCTTTGTGCTTACAGTTTTCAGTTTTGTTTTCAGGTACCTCTTCATCAAAGGGGAAGGAGCTAGCACGGTAGCAGCGTATCACACACACAAGATTTCCGCATTATGAGATTCTTGGGATTGTACTCTGACATTATTACTATTTTTCATAATATGATTTTGAGACATGTGATTATGGTTTTATGACATGAAGTGACATGATGATGGTTTCTTATAAATGTTTTTTTTTCTAAATCGTTATATTAAAATGAAATTTTTAGCATTGAAAATTGGGGATGTTACATCCCCTATAACACCACAACCTCTCATTCAATTTGGTGCACCCATTTCTAAATAATAATAATAATAATAATAATAATAATAATAATAATAATAATAATGATTTTATCAAACACATGAATACATGTCATTCATGTGTCTTGAAATCTTTTGGGTTTGTTTTTTAACACACATATACATTATCTTGTTCTTGTGAAATCCTAAAATCTATTATGAGTTTGTTCTTGTTCTTGTAAAATCCCATAAAAGAAAGCCCTAAAGCACGATTTCAAGTTTCTTCTTACAATGACAAACTCATGAATCTAGATTTGATGTGTGGGTCTTGGTATCGATTTTGGTGTTTGAGCTCAATAACAAAAGAAATCTAGTCTTAATCCTAGAGTCTTTGTTGTTTAAACTCAAGAAGACATGAAAACACATTCATGAACACACACACAATCATGAATCTAAAATCGTGTATGATGTGTATATTATGTTCTTTGCATTAATTTTGGTGTTTGAACTCAAGAACAAAGGAAATTTGGACTTAACTTTTGAGTTTTTGCCTTTTTGGTGTGTGTTTACTAAACAAGAAACTCAAAGAAGAGGTGCATCTCTATCTAGAAATCGAACAATCTTGTGTTTTTTGTGTGTCACAAGTTTGCCGAAAACTTACCGGAGAAGATGACGGGATACTCATGGAGGTGAAAAAACAAGTTTTATGCCCAATACCCAATCCCAGTATATTTTGAACACTAAACAAGTTCCATAGTAAGGTGTACAATAAAGAAATAAATAAAAACCTTAAGTGCCTAAATGTGTTATACAAAACAAATTTCGATAAACTTACAACTCATTATCTCTTTCTCTATAATTAATATACAACTTGTTTTAACCATTTAAAACAAAGAAATTTCAGACACTGTCGAGATCAAATGGAACCATTACTAATTATACACAACTACGAGGGGCAAAACGTTTAAAGAATGGTAAAAAAACAGGTCTAGCAGCTAGAAACGGCTACATTTAAAAATAAATCAAAAAGAGTAATTGGTTAAAACTGATAATAAGCAGAAACATAACCACATACAAATTAGTAAAAAAAAAAAACAAACAAACAAACAAACTATGGTTCTGTTGCATAAACAAGGGATTTCCACTTCGTTACAAAGCACGTATATACCAAAGGGAACAAAGACATTGCAAAAAAAAAAAAAAAAATTAAAATTAAAATTTATAAACCATCTTCATGTACCATAACCATCTAGAAACCCATGAAAAGACGATAAAAACCCTTCCAAGATCATATTCCCTTTTATATGAAATCTGAATCATTCCCAAAGTGCTCCAAATCTGGATGGGTCCCACCTGGTGGCCTACGTGGGTTCCTAGCGAATCGATTTGGCTCAAACCCAGGAACATCTGGTGGACCAAATGGATCAAACCGTGCGCCAGGTGGCACACCACTGTTCCAAAATCCAACAATCAATTCTTCCATAAATATTACAAAATATATTATAAATAAATTAAAAACCAAAAAAAAAAAAAACACTCACGGTTGTCCTCCTGGGAAACCCATTCGTCCTCCACCAATACCACCAAAAAATCTTGGATCATTTGGCCCTGAATGAACATCATAATGAATTAATAATATGTAAACATTGAATAATATAATGCATGATTCATGATAATTAAAAAAAAAAAAAAAAACATAAAATACATACCAACAAGCATTCCACCATCTCCAAAACCACCCCTGTATATAAATTGATTTAATTTTCGCAATTGGGAGTTTTATTATAAAAATAAAAAAAGAAAAAAGAAAGATCCTTGAACCTTGTAGGGTACATTCCTGCACCGGGTTGTGGATAAAGATCACCCCCACCAATGCTAGGATAAACAGGAGGCATAACTACCCTGGCATTTTGGTAAATAAACATTAGGAAATGAACAAATGATCATTCATATGTAAGACAAATACATGAAAGTAAAACTTCAAGTATCAACAACATAAATACCCTGAAGGATGATAAGGATCTTGAAGTCCAAAAGGTCCAGTTCTAGGTTGATCGTTATCATTGTCTTGAATGCTTTGCTTAGAACTACAAAAAGAAAGAATAAGTTCAAGTAATATAGAAGACACTAATGAATATGGGTAAGAATGTAAAATATTAGAATATCAAGTTTTGAAGGTCATGAATAAGTGAATTTAAGTAACAGCACAATGCCAATTCATGGATGACAGAGTAGTTTATGAAGTAAAGGAAAATTTGTAAGCTTCATTACTTTTGAGGAAGATGGACTAGTTAGTAGTTTTTACCTTGAGGTTGCATTGGATGTGCTTGCTGTTGAAGAACCTTTCAATTTGGAAATGACATCTTTGTTGATGCAATTCACGAGATTACCCAAGTTTTTATACTGTGAACTGTATTTGGTGTCATCACTTTCACCAATGAAATCATCAATTCTGTAAGGAAGGGACACCAGTTAGGTACAGGTGAGCTATTGAAACAAATGCGAAAATAATTGGGCGTGAGAATTCAGAATATGCTTTGAAAAGCATCTATCGCATGAACATTTGATGAACTGAAGTAATAATAACATGCTAGATAATGGCAGAATTCAAGATGGAAATTTGGATGAAGAATATATATATATATATATATATATATATATATATATATATATATATATATATATATATATATATGCAAGTCTTCACAAACACATAAAGATAAAGAACTTACTTGATCTCGACATGAGCGGGATTGGATGAACCTGCAGCTAAAGCGTCCACAAGCAACTGGTTGTTCATGGTAAGGCACTTAACAAGCACTTTCTTGGAAGCCACTTCAGGGCTCGAGTAAACAAAAGCATAATTGTCTTCAACTTCATTCCACCCCTCAATCTCTGCTTCATCTAAACCAACAGAAACAGGAAATAAAAATTAGAAACGCAGAGTGAACGCTTGTGATCATGTTTTTTGTGCTTTGACATCGGAATTCCAACTGATGTTACTAAAATTCCAATTTGAAACCTAAAATTCTATGCTAAGCTGGCTACCTTTTGTTACGAATCAAAACCCTGATACACTAAAACACATAATAACAAATTAAAATACAAAGAGGGTACCAGAAACAGTAGCGGCAAGAGCGTCGTCGGTAAATGCCGGGGGACCGGTAGCGTTAAGATTGTAGCCACTTGCCAGGAAGATCGAGTGTATAGCAAATGCAATTTTATCAGCAGAGTTCCGAAACTTAGGTCGTGAAGCCCTTATCACCGCCAGAACGGATTGCTCAGTCGCCATGTTTGGATTTTTTTAATGTTCAATTACAACAGAAACTCGCTTCAAGAACTAAGGTGATACAATTTACTTGCCGGACAGAAGAGTCACCGATCGCCGGACGTTACAGAGAAGGATTTCTTCTTGGAAAAGTTAAAGTTCAGCCCCATTAAAAGGCGATCACCCGGAAGTCGGCAAAACTAATGTCCTAACGCATTTGGGTCATTGTAAGGCCCAATTGTTAGCCCAACAAGATCTTGATGTGTAAGCCAGGTTATTGAAATGTAATTAACGAAGTTTCCTACCTTTTATTTTATTTTTTGGAACGGTAGTGAAAATTAAAAAGGCTAGCAATCAGCTGGCTAAAATAAAATGAGAACAATTAGTTGATATGGGGATTTTGAAGCTATCCGGTTATAGTTTTCTTAATTTTACGGTTCCTACTAAAAAACCAATTAAAAAAAAAAGACAATAGAATCAAACATCAACTCTTTCTTGTACCTCACGGTCCCAAAAACTAACACATTCCGGTAAATCCAAAGAACCCAACTTAAAGTAGCACAAGTCGTCTCAATGATCAATCTTTGAGCATTGGGAATAGTTTGACTATCAATCCACTCGAAGACATCTTCAATAGAGTTAAAGGATGGCACCGTCAGATCTATCCATCTATCAAAATGAAGCCATAATTGACGAGCCATCGAACACTTCAAAAATAAGTGAACACCATCTTTTATCACCTCCCCACAACATGGACATAAAATAGAAGACAAATCAATTCCCCGATGATGAAGGTTACTCATCGTCGGTAAGCGATTAAGGATAAGCCTCTATATAAAAATATTAATTTTTATAGGAAGAGAAATATTCCACCCGGTAGGCTATCACCCATAGGAAGCGACATGAGGTCTAAACGAGATCTGGTAGACTTGACGGAGAACATGTACCCTAAAAAACCATCTCCATGAGTCCATTCTATCAGTAATATGAACTGAATCCAACATCTCATGTAATTGTTGAAGATGAGATTCCAACACTCCCCCGCTTATCGATCTCCTCCATGGAATCTTCCAAGTATTACCCACCCAATAATCAATAATAACCGCCTCACCATTGACTGCCACAACAAACAACCTTGGAAATCTAGCCTTTAAAATAACATCCCCAACCCACACATCCAACCAAAATCTAATACTCACACCATTACCGACTTGTCTTCTCATACAATTAAACGGAATCTTACCATTATTATGAAGGTTCCAAACTAAATTAACCACCCTCCTCCAGACCCCTGACATCGACCTATAAGAAGAAGACAACGAAAAACCAACATCACTCCCATGACAACTTTTGATCAAACTAACCCAAATGAGATTACCACCATTTAGGAATCGACATCTCCACTTATAAATTAAAGCCTCATTGAAAGCTTTCAAACTACCAATCACCAACCCGCCATACTCTTTCTTGTTTAAAATAACCTCCCACTTTACCCACTGAAGAATTCTATCTTGATCTTCTGCGTACCAAAAAAATATAGCCCGAATTTTCTCTAACTTCCGACAAACAATAATTGGCATCTTAAAAAGAGGTAAATAATAAATTCCAGACTCTCCAAAACGGACTTAACCAACGTAAGTCTCCCACCAATAGATAACATTCTAGACTTCCAGACATAAAATCTTTTTTGAAACATATCCAAAAGAGTATCCCAAGCCGCAACCCTATGAACTTTATCCCCAACAAGTAAACCAAGATACACAAAAGGAAATGAATCTGGAGCACAACCTGTACAATTAGCGACTTACTGACACGTATTTGTAGACACTCCAATCCGATAGATCTTTAACTTGTGAAGATTGATCTATAGGCCGGAAGCAATGGAAAAAACCTGAAGCATACAAATAAAACCACACACATTTTCAACATCCCAGTCGCCCATAAAAATAGCATCATCGGCATAAAAAAAATGTGATAGATGTAAATTTTGATCACCAATATTCACGCCTTTTAACTTACCATTATGAATAACATCCTCCAAACACACATGCAACCCTTACATAACAATAATAAATAATAAAGGAGATAAAGGGTCACCTTGTCGGAGACCTCTATACATCTGAAATTCACCAGTATGGTTACCTTTAAATAGGATCGACGATCTAGCAGAACTCAAACACCCTCTTATCCAATTCTGCCATCTAACCCCGAACCCCATAGCATCAAGAATAAAATCTAAATAATCCCATGATACCAAATCGTAAGCCTTTTCAAAATCAACTTTAAAAAGCATCATTTTTTTCTTTTTAGTCGTCGCCCACGTAACTACCTCGTTAACCATCAAAGCAGCATCCAAAATCTGCCTTCCTTCAATAAAAGCCAATTACACAGGATGAACAATCTCTCCTACCACCTTAGTCAACCGATTAGCTAACAGTTTAGCAATTATTTTATATTGCAGACCAATTAAGTTGATATGCATATAGTCTTTAATCTCAGTACGATTATCAACCTTAAGGATTAAGGTTATAAAAGATGAGTTACACCCCCGAGGAAACACTCCCGTTCTATAGAATTCTTTAAACATATCACAAACATCATTTTTATATGATTCCCAGAACTGTTTTAGAAAACGAAAAGTGAACCCATTAGGCCCCAGTGCTTTGTCACTACCACACGACCAAAACGTAACCCACACCTCTTCTTCGTTAAACTCAATCTCAAGATCACGCACCATTCCTTCACCAAGTTTAGTAAAACGAGAACTAGCCCTATTAGGGATACAACCACAAAAATGATGAAACTTTTTCTGATAGTAATCAAAAAACTCTTTTTTTAACTAAGTCGGCTTCCATGATCCACCCCCATCATCTGAAATGCCTCTAATTGCCATTTGTTTTCTTTTTCTTTTTAGTGTGTCGTGAAAAAATTTACTGTTCTCGTCACCTTCTACCCACCACTTGATTTTTGCATTTTGAATACAATCCAACGTATCTGAATTATCAATATCTGCCACCTTAGAAATAACATTTTGCCTTTCCGCCATAATCTCAACTGAAGCAACCCCATCATCCACCAATTTATCGATTTGAACAAGACGAGAAATACAATTTTTCCTTACCTCCTCTTTAGATGCCCGCATTAGCAACTGCCACTCCTTAATTATGCTTTTAACAAATTTAAGTTTATTTTTCAAATGAACAAACCTAATCCAACTAAAGTTTGAAACAAACTCATCACATGCTAAGTGAACAATCTCCGAAAAACCATCCATCGTAATCCAAGATTTAAAAAGTTTGAATTAAATTGGACCATAGTCTAATGCACCCTCTAATAAAAGAACCGGACAATGATCAGACCAACGTCTCTCTTTAGCCAAGCAATGTAGATCAGGAAACATATCAATCAAGCTTTCAGAAACCAAAAATCTATCTAGACGACTCATTTTATTGTCAGCCCGATCAGCTCGAGTAAACTTCCTTCCGACCATAGGAATATCCACCAAACTCGCTTCATTAATGAACTCATTAAAGGAATTTGCTTGAGACGAACTAAAAACCAATCCATACCTTTCATCCACTGATCTAACAACGTTAAAGTCACCAAACACAATACACTCCCCCAAAGTTCTCTCAATGGTAAACCGTAAAAAATTCCACAAATCTCGTTTTTTTCGAGTCTCATGAGGAGCATAAACATTAAAAATAGAACAATTAATATTTTTACTAACCCATTTTCCTTTAACTATCACCACATTCTCAATGCAAAGAACCTTATCTTTCTTGAACACCAAAGGATCCCAAACCGAGAGGATTCCCCCCAACTGACCTCTCGCATTAATACACGCAAAATCAAAATTCGCATTGCCCAAAAAAAGAGCAAATTTTAATATGATCAATGTGTTTCATTCTCGTAACACAAGGAAGTTAACAGAATGATTATTACACAACTCATTTACCCAAGATCTTTTTTCTGAGATCGAATACCACAAATTTTAAGAGAACAACAATTTATTTACACTTAATCACACCCATGTCAACTAATTTTTTCTTCAAGTCTTCTTTAGCATTCTCCACATCATATCCCAACACCTTCCCCAATTCAATGAATTTACTAACTTCATCACACGACAATACTTCTTTATTTGGTGACATTTTCCTCAAAATATGAACTGATCCTGTACTCCATGATCGTGTGACATCATTCCTTTGAAATGTTATTATCTTTCGAAAACATGTCAACTTGGTCTTTAAATTCCTGAGAATTGATTTTAACAACTTTTTCAACATTTTCAACAACTTGTTTTTGAATTTCTTTTAAATTTTTTTTTGTTTTTCAACCCATTTTCTTTGAAGTTTTTGTCGTTGAAAAGTGTAAGTGCTCTTTGTGAGATTATTTTTGAAAGTATTTTGATTTGCAAATAATCATTCATTTGATGCATGTTTATTATCTTCTTCAACCATTTTGTTGAATCAATGTTTGATGTTATGAAGCTTTCCTGTTTGTCACGAATACTTGATTTGGAAAGATGACATCATCTATATATTTGAAGTTAGGATATACCACTGTATTAGTTTTGAGATAACGAGCACCCTTTTCAGTCATAACTTTGTCGAAACTTCATCATCATTTTCTTCATCACTGCTATCAATTTGACTATCTCACATGGTCGAAATCACAAACTCATGAATTTGAGGGTTTGTCAATGTCAATCTTAACCAACAAATCATTACACTTTTCTTTTCCATTAGACTTAGATGTAACATTAATGATAGACAACTGAGAACAATCAACATCCTCAATATCACTAATTTCACTAATATTATCATAATGATCTTCGATATCACCAAAATTAGATTGAGAATCAGATGTCAAATTCTCAGTCATTTTCAAGTTTTCAATTTTTTCATTTTTTGGTCAAGGTATCATTCACAATATTAACTAATTCATCTGCATCAAGATACTCATCAATTTTGACAATTCCATAAGCATACCTATCATCAGGAAGTCTATCAAATTCAACAATGGTTTTCTCATAATCATAAGAAATATTATCAACCTTCTCTCTTTTGAAAGATAGAAAAGGTAATAACTTCCTATGTTGACCCTTGCTTATGTCAGATGAATGATGCAAAACATTCAGTTTAGCATAAAGTCGTTTAGC